TGTAGGAATTAACGTACGGGTATATTTGTTTTCGTGCAGAATCTCGCGTACCTGTAGTTGATTTTTATCTGCATGCGAACTCAGAATATACATTCACCCGAATATATCCACTCGTGCGTGCGTGTATATAGGGGTCAATTACGAGAAAATTTAAGTTCTCTCACAAAACATTAACGTAAAGTGGATAAAAATCATCCATACTTAGGCAAGTTTCTAATTATCCCCTATACACATACAAACGCGTGTGCGTTCACGTACGAGTAAATATTTTTGATAGTCCAATGTTCCTTTCAGAGATAATATATTTTATCTGCACTCAATACAGTAGTTATTGTTGTATACGAAATAAATCGAACAGCTATAAAAATTCGATATTTTTTACTCATTTATCATTTACAATATTTCAATAGTCTAAACGCCGCACTGTGCATATTATGTGATTCAAATATATATATATATATACATACTTTTTTTTGTAATTCTAAAAATCAATAGTTGTAGTTCACACGATTCATTGAAAACACTATACAGAGATGGGTCATGACGTGCCTTCGTACAAAAGCGGTGTACCCAGTTGTTGGACCGTTTCGCGTAGGTTAAAACACATTATGCTCACCCTGATCAAAGTATTCTTAGTCGGCGGGAAATGCGTTTTCAAGCTTACGGGTCACCGCAGGTTAAGTTACAATGTATAAGTATATATAATACCACAGCGACCTTTTTTTTTTTTTTACCCATACTCGGGATGTAATACAATATTATTATGTTTTTCGATAAGCAGCAGTGTTGTCAAAAGATTATAATACAACTCAAGTAAGTACCAATATACGGTCGCATATCGGTAATCAGTGTGAGTGTGTGTGTACTCGTATAATAATCGAACGGTATTTATACAAAATGCCAAATAGTATTATGTTATTGAGTGAAAATAGTTTTCCTTTTTTCATCTTTCTTTTTCTCTACACGATGATCAACAAAAAGGGGAAAAGTGTTCGACAAAATCACATTAGGTTTTCACAAAACAAATACGTTTACAACTCCCAGGTCACCACCGAAATGTTGTAAAACAATAATGATTGTGCATTACGTCTAACTCCCCGTAGTACTGAAATATTGATATTATACACTTTTGTTTACTGTAGTGACCAGATATTATTTTCGTCACGTAAAAAAATAATGTAGAAAATAATATTGAAGTTTTGTAAATGCGTATTATTTACCATAAGATTCGATCGGAATAAGAATTCTAACTCATTTTCCTTTAATAACTAAATATGATTTAACACTCAATACTTTAAATTAAGTCCTCACTCTTACTGCAATCTGAAGTTTGTATTCTTTGTAATTTAACCAATAACTATTATTAGCACCATGAGGTTTAATTAAAATCAAGAACACAAAATTACTAAAACAAGTTCTTATGAGTATATTATATACAGGTATAGATTGATATGTACATATAGGTTTTTATAGCACTTAGTACTAAAACATTTTATAATTTTAGTTATCTCTTGTTAAAAGTAATCGATCACCCAAATAGATTTTAATTAGGTAAAAATATTGTTTTTATCATAGTTTACATTTCATACTAAAACCCATTATTATCTTTTGAGTTAGTTCGTTTCAATAAATAGCCTATTTACATAGATAAGTACTTACGTAATACAAAGATGGAAATTATTCATAATCCATATAATGATGAACAAAGGATACAATTTACCTATTTTATACATGAAAATTATCAATTTCTACATAGAAGAAGTTATTAATTGTTTTTTAATTAATACTTCAGCTGGAGTATCAAACAATGGATATCAATATAGGATGTTGACGGAAAATAATGTAAAAAAATAAATACCATAACAACAAAATGCATTTTTATTTCTGTACCAATTCCATTAATCTTGGACATAAAATGTTCCTTTAATAAAAACTTAAAAGATAAAACAATTATAAAGTTACACCTTAAATTATACTGAGTAAAGATCTTAATGTCATTTTTATGTAGGAGTGTTTTAGCTTTGAATTTTTTAGCAGCTACTTATAGCCTACACATATATTATATAGGATAAACAATGTATACAATACAATTATATAGTTCATTAAATTTAAATATCACATTTTCTTTGTTTTAAACGTGTGAAAATGAGTTATGGAATGATAAAATGATTAATGAATGGTAAGTATAAATAAACAATAATGTATAAGAAAAAAAATTACAAGGTCGTGAAAATGGTAAAGTATATTACTATCATGTATATCCATGTGTATTGCCATGCGTATACATTCACATAATATACAATATTTATTATTATTTATTTCATGTGTGATATGTTTGTTTAACAGTAAAATAATTTTAATCTGTTATTGGTATGTTTTCTTTGATTACCAAGATACTGTATAATGACGAAGTCAAAACATAATATTTTTTTATTATTATATTTGTTTTAAATTTCAATTTACTGGTTTGTTTTTATTATATTTTAAATTTTAACGCATTAAAACACTTCTACGAAAATACATTTCAATAGACATTGTACAGTAAAACTATAATCATACATTTATTTTATATATTATACTACTATTTCGAAAATATCCTGTATTTGAACTTATTACGTGGCTTTTATTATAGCTCTATATAAACATAAATAAAGACTAATCATAACTTTCTATTTTACTACAATCCCAATTATAATATTAAAATTAAAACTCATAAGTTTGAGTTTACCAACAAACGTTATTCTTTGTTAATATCACTAACCTTAATACATGGACGTATATAATAACGAAGCCACATAAATACTTAGGTATACGTTAAATTTTAATTATTTTCAAAATTTAATTCTTAAAAGGGGTAAGTATATCAAACAATTTTACTTTATTTTGAAATTTGATACTCAGATCGGGCAATCATATTTTTAGTACCACTAAAATCGAGTTCGTAATCAATATTATTATTTATTTCATTTTGGATGATAGCAAATCCGTTTCCCAGTGATAATAAACTAACTATAGTCCATTTGATGAGAAAAACAAAAAATGAATGATGATCGAATAGTTCCATTAAATAACTTTATTTCAGGACGGATTTAGACTAAAGGTTTTTGTTAAGTTCTATAAAATATACACGCGTAAACGAACTGATTATAATGTAATGCAGTATGACTATTCATACATCCAAAAATAGCATATAAGATTAAAACCACAGATCATTAGTCACCAAAATCGAAAAGGATCATCTACTAGAGTAGAAACAAAATTAGTAAGTTGTTTTTTTCAAGTTATTATCTCATTATTTATGTATCTAATATAACATACTGTATGTATATGTATACATGCTGAAATAAAATTGAAAATTTATTAAATAGTTCTACCACCCTATAGGTATGAAATATATTTATATGCACAAATAATATTTAAAAAGCACCAATGCATTTCACACAAATTTTAAAACAAAACTATTACGTCACATTATTCCGTGAAAAAAAAAAGAAAAGAAATTATATAGCCGTTTTTGGACCACGGATGTGACGAATAGAATAAGGTTTTGGTTTACAGTAATTAACTAAAACGCCTTGTTGGGATCTGTTGAGCAAATTACTTTCAAACAATAAAAATATTTATTTTTTCTTCCAATAAATTGAATATGGTTTGTGTTTGGAGATAAATTACTCAAAATATTATGTTACGAAACAAAAACAATAAACAAAATACGTAAATTCACCAAAGGTTTTTACTTGCATTTAAACCTTATAATATATACTATATACAATACCTACATGGAATAAGAGTGTTTACTGATTAGTTTACGAGGAATAGCCCCTCTCATCGAAGTGATTATATATATTTTAATATGACCCATGTAATGAATGACTTGAGCCGTCCCGTGAATATTATATACCCTGTTCAAAAAAAAAAAAAAAACGTTTATCACTTACGCAAGTCCTCTTCTTTCTGCGCATAAGTTTTCGAAGGAACGAAGAGGTAGGCATGGCTAAAATAATAATCCGTGGAGAACGTATGAATTTGGAATGAATGTAAAACTATGTATTTGTCGTGCTCATTAGTTCGTAAATTATTGTTGTATTATTGTCTCAGTCTTAACGCATATTGCAAACTCGAAAAGGTAAAAAAATGAACTACTGTCTACTGGTTAAGAGGCTCTAAAATAAAAATTAATTTATGAATATAATAATATTACTGATGTATGATGACATGTAATACCAGATATTATATAGAAACAGTTAGTTGAATGGAGCGGGATCGAGAAATATTTCAAAAATAAATAAATTTGTGCAATATTTACAATGTCGATAAAATACTAGAAGCTGTTTGAATAAACGAAAATGGAAACCATAAAATATAACTTATTACTTTTCAACCTCCAAACCGTTTTCTCACTCAAGCATAACATTTCCTAGTGAAAACGTTTATTTATATCAGCGAATAACAAAACAGACATGATAACTTTTATATCCACTCTTGGTCCACTTATTAAATCTATTAGAGTATTCAATATTAAACAAAAACTATACGACTCCTACGAAAAACCACATAACACATTCTAATAATAATAATAATAATAATAATAACAATCAATAATAAATGTGTACCTATTTAATCAATTAATTTATCTAGTTTAGTATGCTTCTATTAAAATATTATATGGTCATTGCGGCTAATAAAACAAACAGACCTTAACAATTTAATCTTTTGGAAAAGCCAAAAAACGTTCGACGGTCGTTGTGTACAATGTTATAGGCTTAAAGGATGATGGGGAATAATTTTTTTGTAAGGCACACATGAACAATGGATATATAATAAAATATTATACCTACATGCGAATCATTATAATATGACTGTGATAATTAATTTTCGCCGCCAATCTCTATGTCCGTGCGATTCTCGGACTATCAGCGATTAAAATTTAAAATTTGAAAAGAAAAAAATAATAACGACAGAAAAAAAAAGAACTCGCCCACAAAAAACAAAACAAAAAAAAAAAAAAACCGTCGTCGAATAACGTCCACCCGTTTTATTTAATATATATAATATATATATTATTATAATTTACTTACACACGGGCACGCACACGGTGAGGGGTGATATCAAAGTTAAAACGGGTGGGAAAAGGGTAGAATGGGGTTGAAGATGAGTCGAGGAAAAAGCAAGAGAGAAGAAATAATAATAATAATAATAATAATAACATGAATAATAATATGAATAATATGAAAATTACGTAGAAGGCGAGTTAGTGTAATACTTAGACTATAATAATATGGTATAGAACAAAACGGACGCGGGCAGAGCGGTATGCAGGCGCGTCATGCGGTTCAGAACGCGCGGGCCCGCTTGGTCTCCTCGTCGACGATCCTCTGCTGCATAAGGTAATTGGCCATCGCTATGCCGCTGGCCGACCCGCATATGGTCACTTTGCGGTTGGTGGTGCCCGGCGCGTACACGCCCTTCTTGGATATGTGAATGGTGACGCCGCTCATCTGCTGGATTTCGACCAGCGACCGGCCGCCGGGGCCGATGATGGCCCCGACGATTGACTCGGGCACGTCCATCTCCCGCTTGACGGACTGCTGGTCGTCGGCGGTCATCTCGTACAGGGCGGCCGCCGCGGCCGCTGCAGCCGCGGCCGCCGCGTTCGTCGTCGGCCCGATCGTCTTGGGCGTGGACGCGGCCGCGGCAGCCGCGGCCGCCGCCACGCCCAGCCCGTACGAGTTGGCGTTGGACAGCGTCGGGCTGGCCGCGTTCTGCGACAGGATCGCGTTGATGGATATCGCGCCGCCGGCCAGGCCCAGGTCGAACAGGTCGTTGGTCACCGTGCTCAGGAGCCCGGTCCCGTTGTGGTGCGGCACCGACGGGGCCGGTTGCAGGATGCTGGTCTGGTTGATCAGTCCGATTATGCTGTTCAGACTGAGTACGTTGTGCCTGCAGGTGCGATATGGAAATAAAAAAAAAATTTTTAAAAAGGCGCTTAAGTACAGTGTAGTCAGTGGCGGCGGGTTGGATATACAAAAAACGGAAAGAGGAAACGCTTGAAACGTGTAAATATCGAGTGAAGTCTCAAAATAACTATACAAAAATGATATAGTAATCCGTATTTTATTTTTTTTTTTTTTTTGCACAAGTTACGTGGTATTTTAGGAGTTATTAAAATAATATTCTCGCTATGTTTACCACCCCCCACAATGCACATAACAATAACTCCACACGACTTAAAATATGATTATATATATTATAATATATATTATATAGTAGAAATTGCTTAATGAAACATCAAAAGACCGCACGTAGTTTGTACGCATTAACTGATAGACACAAAACGTAGGAAATTCAGCGGGGATTTAAGATTTTGTACGTACGATAATATGACGTGTTACCGATGTGGTATTAAACGATCTATTACTGAAAAATAAATGTCTTGTCTGCTGGCGAGATAAAGTTTGTCCGCAGGTCGTCATTTAGAGACCCAAGGTCTAGTGATAACGATTAGGTCTGTTGTAATACTAGTGAATCCGTCGTAAATCGTTTAGATAGAGATCATCTAATCACTTCGATTCCGGATATTAATCTACCGCTGTGTGCTGACAAATTTACGCATATTCGGTAAACGTTATACTCGTGCATTTCGAGTAGAAATACTCGTTTATAATAATTTATAATCAGGCATATAACTTTATACACAGGATTTAACCATTTAACATGTTTAAATTAAATTATTATTTTTTGTTTAAGAATTGTTTTAATGATTATGTTTATGCATAATACTCGTACTATATAAGATTGATAATATTGAATCAAAATTATTTAATTTTAACCATCAAGACAATAAGTTGTATTTTATGTTGTTTCATTAACATTCAATGTGATCGCATTATTTTTTAAGCTGTATAATTTTATTAAATTTTATTTTTACAACCTTTGATCCTATTCGTACACAATTGTGTCGTTTTTAAGAGGTTTGTTTTTAATAGGAGAACGATTAATATTTAAGCAAACGTATTTACAAAAAGGTATATTGTATGCGTAATCGGGTTTTTCTACCCGTCATTTCTCCGGAATTTAGGAATTTTTTAGAAAACTTAACGCTCCAATATATTTTACACACATTTGAGTAAGTGCATTCCACACATTAGAGAATTCAGATTACTCTGGATTCGTTGCTTAAATTCAGCACATATTATTTGTCACTTAGGTGTTTGAATTATTATTTTTCATTTATAAACAAATGCATAATTTAATTTGTTTTCATGACACTTTATAGTTGAAAAGACACCCTCTGCGCATTAATAATCACTAGATACCTAGGTATATATATATATATATATATATAATGAATAATGATATATTATATATATCATTATATGTACTGTTTTCTACCTCATGCAGTTAACTGCGTCGTATAACGAAGTTCACGTGTCACATACGTCGTAACTTCCGAGAAGTTACCTTCCCGAGACGGCAAATGAAATCTGGTTGCATTATAAATGGTAGATAGTCAAGATATTTTCAAAACACTATTAAGTGCCATGTGTAATTTTTTTATGCTTTTTTTTATAAATTGTTGTTACATAATAATATTTTTATCCATCAATGATTTGTGTAGTATATAATTTTATTTAATGTTAACAAAACCCAATTATTTCGGTTTTTTTATAAATTAAAATATTTTTTTTAACTAAACTTATCTATATAATACATTTTTAACTGTTAAAATATTATACAAAGATTGTTAAAAAAAAAAAAAAGACGTAAACAAAAAATAATAAAGTGACTTGGCATTTGACAATAAAACAATGGTCGTTCTACTTTACAAAATTACAAGTATACAACTAAAACACATTGTATTCTATAACTGCTCTGACTTTTGAAATGAAAATGAGTTATTTATTATGAATAATGCGAATGGTACAAAATGTAATTCTATTCATTTTAACAATCAAAAAAAAAAAAAACCCCTTGTGAATGAATATACTTCGTTTTCCTTAGAACGTATAATACGAATAGATATATATTGAATACAGCAGGACTAATAATAGTTATCTGACATGATAAAATAAATAAATATTAGTTTAACATCATATATTTTTTCAAGCAAACCCAGAAAATATGATAATTGATAATTATACTTGATATTATACAATTAAATCCCTTTTTACCCTTTCTGTCAATATTTATTTATTTATAAATAAACCTATTAAACATTAATATATATTAGTCTAACTTCTATACCTAAATTCTATCGTAATATATAAAAAAAATCGTTAATTGTTAGAATGTAATTTTATTTTTTCACGTATTTTATGTCCAATACATTTAATTATTTTTAAATTAACTTTTTAACTTTTCAAGCTAGTCAAGATTAGTTTAAACAAAATATTATACTTAAAATTTTTATTTCCTACAATCAATATTCTTATTGCATAAGCTTATACCTACATTAATTTATTTGTATCGTAGAGATAGGTATTGTGAACAATATTTATTGAAAGGTGTTATATAAATATTTTTTTAATCAAAATAAAAAAAATAAAATCGATCATAGCAGGAAGTGTTTTAAATAATAATTATTATTTGTAAGTATTCATGTTACATTTATGTTCTGCGGTCGACTCCACAAAAGATTCTTTGAAAAGTTCTCATGTGACAAGCTTGAACTCAAAGCCTCGTTATTCAAACTAACAATAAGTACTGAATACTGCAAATACCTATTAATTACACTATTTTTATGTGATTGATGTGCTTAAATAACGATGTTATACAATAAAAAAAAATCAGATTTTATCATTGACAGCAAAGTATCATTTAATATAAAATAAAATAAATATTTCAGTAAAAAGAATATTTAAAATAAATATATACCTAGTACCTTAATAATTATATCATTAAGTGGCAAGTAAATAAAATTAAATAACAGTTTAATAAAAATATCTGATTAGACCACAGTAGTTTAACCTGTCCTTAAACCGAGTTCATAGTTCAGTAATTTAAAAAAAATAATCATTTTAATCGTTATGAATTACTTTATGAATATTAAAGTCCAATAATCAGGAGTGATACTATATTGTAATAGAAACAATATAATTTACTCTTGATAGTATTGATAAATAAGCTTGCTAGCTAAAACAAATTACATATTTATGTAAAATGTAAACAAAATTACTATTTAATTAGCTTCCTAAATTTTCTTGAATTTACTTCAATATTATGTATATAAAAAAAAAATGTTTTTCTAAATAAACGTACTTAACGATAAAATAATAATAACATTTTTGTAAAAAAAAAACTAACTTTTTATTACTGTGATTTTTTTCTAAGAAAATTAATATAGCAGAATAAAAGATGACGTTCTATGAAAAACATTCGTAGCGTTTTAAAAATTCGGAATGCGTTTCGTTTAAATACAGAAGTTTGTGCACATGAAAGTAATAAAAACGCATAGGTAGGTAATTAAATTTTATTAATAATGTTTTTCTTACTTGGCTAACGTCAAAAAAGCAATAGCTATTTCATTGACTGCGGATTCAGGATATCCACTGGACCTCAATAACGGCTTTACGTTATCTAAGAATTTGTTCGTGAATATCCCATTACTAATATCCTGCGTGGATAACGATGTGGCATTTAAGTTGTAACTGGCCTGGTTGTTGGCTGAAACATAAAACGGACGCACAGTTAGCCTACTTGACACTGCTATTAAATGGTATAGTACAACTGCTACGCAGGGGCGTATAATGCATGGAAGATCTGATTTCCCCGTGAAGTTTTTTTTTTTAATTATTATTATTAGTCTTGTTCTAATAAATGTGTATAAAAACATCTCTATCACTATTCTGAATAAGTAATTTTGACGAATTGGCCAAAAAAAATTTTTTTTAATTTTATTGTATAGTCCCTGCACTTAAACACTTTTTAATTAATTTTAGGTGATTGGTTAGGTTTTCTCCCGCAGATCTGCTCCTCCTTCCCCAAACTAAAATCACGTATATGCTATTGCAATGTTACATTATACATAACATTATATATACAATAACGCAATAATTATATTATATATCTAATAAATAATAACAATATTATAATAATACATACAGCAATTAGTGGTAGGCAAGGCATACGGTGATCCTGTGGGATTGAAATTCGCCACTGGGCCGTTGACATCGGCGTAACTTAAATTCGGACAAGACGCACTCAACGGATCTTCGATTATTTTGTTTAATATGCACAAGCAAACTTTTTTGTTCCCTTCTGTGTTACCTGTAACCAAATAATAATCAGTTTTGTAAATAAAAATCCAAAAAATACACCAAGTACAAATAATATTATTATTTTTTTTTATAGTGTTTAAGGTATTTTAATTAATAAATAAATTCGCAGTATATTAATGCAATTTTATTTGTGTTAATACTTTTTAAAACTTTTAGTATCGTGTATTTAAATTATACTTTAAAATCATATTTAGTATACTAATAATGAATGTTAAACACTTAGTTCACTTTATTTATAAATATTTTTCCATTATTAATTCCGTGAATTATAGTTTCAATTGAATATAAAAAATTTTCCTCCTCCAGTCCTCGATATCATAATAAAAAAAATATATTTAATAAATTATAATATGATAGTTGTTTTTAATGTCAAAACATGTAACTTCGTAGAATTATTAATTAGATAATACTTTGAAATAAATTTATATTTTTTATATATTGTTGTCACGCAGATTACGGTTGAATATTTTATACAAATAATATGAACAATGTATTTAAAAAACAATATAAAACAATAATGTGATATCTCAAAATATAAATATAAATTTATACTTAAATTATTTAGTATTATTTTTTATTTTTTGTTTTTTGTTTTTTCATTTGCATTTGAAAATTATTTGAATACAAATTAGCTAAACCAGTATTAGATAAGTATTTTAAATACTTTTAAATAAAAATATATTTGAGCAAAATGTTTTGAATAGGTACATTTCTTAAGTGTTCTTCACAATACTGACAATATAATGTATTTTAATATGGGGCATATATCAGTGATGTGAATAAAACGAGAAAAATATTAATTGTGTAAAACATTAAATTATATTATACCTGACACGGTAATGCATCGCTCTTGGAGTGTAGTGTCTTTTGCTTTTTGCGATATTTGCACAAAACACCCACTGTCTTCTTTCAACTGTTTGATGTACGCTCCAGCTTTACCAATAATCATACCCGCTGTCGAATTAGGTATCAGGATTTTTACCTATAAGGTATATAGATAATTTAAAACATTTTTAAGAATCTATTTTGAGTATACACATTATTTTGATAAGCAACATAATATGTTCGATCGATATATCTATTCGTTAATTATTTATTATTATTGTCGCTGAATTCAATATGATAAAGGTACCTGTTTCTCTCGATCTGCAATTGCATCACCAGAATTTTGAACCCTATTCGACGCATCTGGTTTTTCCCGGATTCGTTCCATAATAAATGTAAGTGCTGCCATTATATGTTCGGAACTTGATCCAGATATTATGCAAACTCTTTCGGTCGTGCCTAGAATTATTAAATCAATTGTTACTTAAATTAAATTGTCTTTTTACATGATCTTAAGACGAAAACAAAAAAAAAAGTTTGAACATATTTTACAAATTGCATTATTAACATAATAAGAGGATTACAAACAGACAGTTTTTTCTTTGACTAAAGCTTATAGAGCTATATGACCTTATTTTCGTTCCAGTCTCATCTGTATGACGGCGACGATAGAAAAAATGTTTCGAAAACATATTTGAATTCTTAACCATGCCTTATCCGAAACAGCTTTAACCACTTTAAACAATTTACTTTATAATAAAACATAATATTATTTGTACCACTATATTATACACTTGATTTCAAAAGTTTGCGAAACGTAACAACCAATTGAATTAAGTTGTACAAATATTTTATGAATAAAAAAAAACCAGAAAGTAATTTTCTCGAATCATTTTTGGATAGATTTCAAACGAGAATGAATGAATTCCTATGACATCGTTTGTTCGGTCGATACTGTTGCGGAATTAAATTGGATGTATTCAGCAGTAAAAAAAACGCGTGATTGCGACCTAGTATCGATATTAGTTGCGTGTCCTGTTATACCTACTGGTACGATGAAATATAACATATACTAATGAGGACCATTTAGTCGTACACGCTCACGCGTTTATAAAATTGCCTGTATCGAACTCCTTAAAAATAGTATGTATGCATACCCATTATTTATTATTTGAATAATTCGTTTAAAATTCATATTTATAGAAATATTACACGTCAAATTAGGTTAATCGTGGTACATAAAAAAAAATTCACGAATGGGACAGTGCTTATGGTATACTGACTCGATAACCTCGGCGCAAGTGTACGTATTGTGTAACTTTACTTTTAAATTTGAAAGCAATGATAAATCATAACATTCATAAAACCATTCCATTGTTGTATCATCAATGTTACCGTTTTATCGCTATTTTTAGATTCTAAACTGAGTGATGATATATTGGTTTTACAATGATGTGTTTTATTTTTATTATTATATTTGTGAATATGTATCTATCAGTACCTTTCAGAGCAATAAAAATACTTCAATCATCAACTTTGAAGGTGGTTTCAGGTTCCGCATTTGATCTAATATATTATGAGAAAGATCAAAAATAATCATAGGAAAAAATAAATAAAAAAATTTACGCAAAATCAATTTTAATCTTTTTTCGTTATTTAAGAAATACTTATTAAGCATTTTTAATTTGTTAAGTTTTTATATTAATTTATGTACGATATAATTATTGTAAGCCAGTCGAAGAGTTTCAAAATGTTATAAAATCTTCTTCATAAGTTTTTCTTACAGCTATTAAAGAAAAATACATAATATACATTGTAAAAGTTTTTTTTCATACACGTTAGGAAGTTAAATCATTAAAAAATCACAACTTTTTGTACTTAAAAACTAATAAAATTTTTTATTTTAATAGCTCAAGCTTAAAAAATGAATACAAGTCTCCTTATACGTTATATAACAGAAATCTAAAAATAGACACTAAAAAATATATACACATTTTTTGCTGAACATTTGAAGTTCAATATTTTAATATTTAAACGAAAAATAGTGAATTTTTAATTATTTTGCTGTTATTTAAAAAATATTAATTCAAAACTCGAAACTTTATGATATTAAGTAAATTATTATTTATCGTTAATAAAGTATATAAAACATTTATAATAATTTTAAACAATAATTATATTTTTAAGTGTATGTATCATGTTATATAATTTTATAACATAATATGCAATATTTATGGGTAAAAATTAATTGAATTGTATAACTAATAAAAAAAAAAAAAAAAGAAAATAGAAAATATCTTTAGAAATAGAAGTTAATTTATTGTTTCTACTTAGAATAGTTTCTTGTATACAATGATTTATCAACAACTCTAGTATAATCTGGATTTATGTTGCATAAATAAAAGCGATAATTGATGTAATATAGCTGGATACTCATTATCGCTTTTACACCTATAAAAATATAAATAAACTATAAAACCTTCAAAAGTTTCACATCATTTTCTTTTTAATGTTATTATATGGCTTTTAAAATTGAGAGAGAATTAAAATTAATTTATTTTAAAATATTCTTAATTGCTAAATACGTACATTTAAAAATTATTATTTTAGGAATTTATCAAAAGAAAATATCCATAATGATACTGAATATTAATTAGCTAGAATTAAACGAATTTATAAAATACATTTTTTTAAACTACAATTATTATACAATAAAAGTCGCTTAATGATTCTGTTAACGGGGATCCAATTACTGGTAATATAATATTCTTACTTTCATAAAATACTTTAATCAATTTAAGCAATACATACAAATAATCTAAAAGTTAAATTTAGAATATTTGACTTAGGTATTAAAAACTGTTCACAGATAAACTTTGAACTTTAAAGTTGTGTTTAAGATAGAAAATAACAATTAAATAAACATAACGATAACATAGATATTAAAAAAAAAATTAAAAATACTTGTAGTTTCATCTAGAATTATTTGTTATCAAATAAAATGGTTATTATTAATGCTGTTTTTTTTTTTTAAATTTATTTTTTTTATTAATTTAATATACTTAAAGTGGATTTAATTCAATTCACCTTAGTAACACTGATATTTAAACAAAGAAAAGTGAATCAAGTCAAATATCTAATACTCGGCCACAGAATTATTTAAATTTTTTTATTTTAGTCACACCTTCTAAATTTGATAAAATATTTTATTTTACATTACGCTTTATTCATCTCAAATTTAAGAGTTATTTATTAAACTATGTTTAATATAATTTTAACAAATTTAAGTGTAATTTATAAGAAAATATAAAACTTAAAATTATTAAGTTAATTACGACAAATAAAATACAGTACTAGTAAAGCTCATAGTTAATAATTCTAAAACAATGGTATAGTGTTTAGCTTAAAAAAATTATTTTTATCACACTTTGGCATACTAAAAATAGTTGAAATCGCTTGAAATTTTTTTAATCATGAAATAATATGGAATTTACTCTATACGCATTATAAAACAACAATACCATCAAACACAACACACTATAAAAAAATATGTTTATTTCACAAAAAAAATGCTGAATTAAATGACTTGTACTGTATAATATGTAACTTCTATTATGTAAAGTCTACTTGAATGGTTTATAATATTTTATCCATCGGATAATGGATTTTATAATATTGTTTCCACATGATAACACTGTTTAACTAAAATATATGAATATCAGATATTGCAAGAAGAATGGATTAATATTATATTATTGTTCTTATTAAAATCCTACTTTACAATATAATATAAAAAGATATTATATTGGTATATTAGTAATCATGTCAAGTGTCAATAACTTTATCAACTACTTCGATCTATTTTATATCAAAAAATAATTTATATATTCTCACAAAAAACAATAAACTTATAAGTACTGATATTTATAAAAGATAATATGTACTTAAATAAAAAACTAAAATATTTGCTTATATAATGCAAACTCAACAAAACACAATTAAAAAACTTTTATTAGAATATAAAATTTATTTTAGGTTTAAAAAGTTTTAAACTTTAAAATTTTGAAAAATTAAAGTTAAAACTGTTGATTTTAAAAAATAAAGATTCGAAACTTAACTTAAGTTCAAAAGAATAAAATATAAATATTAAGCTGTGCAACGTAATTTATAAAAAGTAAAAATAACGTATTCATATAATTTATGAATCTAATTTAATTAAGATTTAATGTATGGTATGGGGTTATATTGCTAAACCAATAAATTGTTATAATAAGAGATAAATCATAAACTGGTCTTTGAACATGGAAATGAGATTATTGGTTTTGCAGTATATCATATATGTTTATTTATAGCAAATAGATATGAAGCATAATATACTTACTATTTAAAACTAAATGCATTTATCCAACTTTAAATTTCCGTTTTTGATTTGCACATATATCATATACATATTATTAGTCGAAGTAACTCAAACAAAAAGGGAAATGCTGAAAACGTATAAATGTATGTAATATATACAACGTATCTGTGTGGAATATTATCAAGAACGTGCTAAAAAAATACGCCGTGGCTTGGCGAAAAAAGAGGCTGTCATTATACACTGAAGCGGGAAACTTATTTCTTCTTTTTTTACGGAAAAAAAGCTTAGTTTATAAGCTTCCTATTATTACTTCTATTAATAGCCGTGAACAACTACGTATATTGGTGCTAAATCCTAGAACTGGAATGATCAAGCTTACGCACCACGCAGTATATAAGACACTTGTAGATTGGTGTCTAGAGGAAAATCACAAGCGTTTTGTTTTGATACTACAACATCAAACAGAATTCATCTAAAAGACCTTGTGTTTTGCTAAATCTACAATTAGAACGTGAAATCGTATAGGTATTTACCATGTCACAGTCATATATACGAAATTATATAAAAATTGTTTTCAATTTAAAATTTAGGATAACATCAGACTTAGCTATTTTTAAAAGATTTCAATATACCAGTAAAGCAATTAACACCAACAATTTTAACTCTGGTATACGAAATATTATTAGTATAGATTCTATAAATGGCATATATAATGATATTATTAAATCAAAAGATGATTGCTGAAAATTATTAGAATTAACAATAATTTTTCTAGGTGGAAAATTTTCTAATTATATTAATTTTAAGCACTAAATTCCATTCATTACACTTGATGGATGACCAAACCTATTTATAGATTAAAAAAATATTTGTTTCGTGAGCTATTTTGATTAACGCCTTAAGAAGAAACTGCCTTAAGAAGCATCTGTGTTCTTATTATACAGTTATACATAAAATTTTGGTTTAACAATAGAATTTACTTTTATAAAAAACCTTTTGCATTATACATCTATCACAGATTTCAGTTAAAAATTTCTGTGATCACGCATGGAATTTATTAATAGAATTATGTACGTTTGCGTTTTTTCATAAAACTGTGCTACTAGAAACTAAAAAAAAAAAAATGTTCATACCATTCATGCTCTAAAAAACGATAAATGTTCGTCAGAACTAATTTCAAATACACAAGAATCATATCTCCAAAAAAATAAAAGAATTACGTATTAGAAAGGAAATCAATGATTTTATGGATGTTACAACCAAAAAAAAATTTAAAGATATTCCATTTACATAAATTTTCTTAATGAAGACCTTTTAAATTGAAAAAGCAATGTTGACTATCATAAAGCTTCTTTGTTAATTTTAAAAAATATTCAGGTTATAAACAATATTTCATAAAGACGAGTAAAACTTGTCGAAGACTAAAACAACAAAATGGCAAAAGATGAATATGAAAAACAATATCTATTTCAAGGTTTTAATGATTATCGTAAAATATAAACACTAACACTATTATAAATTAAATTGTACCATTAATGTAATAAAATTTTTAATTTATAATTTTATTGTTTATTTTAATTATAATTAATTATTTATATTTTAGGTTACCTGAGATATCTAAATTATTAAGTTTATTATTTGTTTTTAATTTCCAATTAAAATAATTTAAAAAGTTAAATACTTACAAAAGAGTGTAAAATAAAACAAATAATGTCAAATTTATTTTTATTAAATTTATGTAGGATCGAATTTTTTATAACATTTTTTTTTCCTCTGGACCTATACTTAAATACATTTCAAAAATTAATGATTTTGAATATGATCTATTTACATAATTCTAAAGCTTTTACGACACGGGTTAAACTTAATTAATTTGTCTGAAACTTTTTTATATTGTTTTTTTAGTAATCAAACCTTTCTGGGGGAAGGCAGATAACTTGAAAAACACGAAAAATAAAGACTACCCTAGTATATGTATATGTATTATGTGTATATATGATATATGGTAATAATTATGTATATATGTGAATTTGTTTTTGAGTGTAAAAAAAAATATTTTCGTTATAATACGTTTAAATATTATATTAATGAGCAATTATTATTAAGTTAGAGGAAGTAAAATAAAAATAAACGTATAAATACTTTTTAGATCTCATGAAAAAAATTTTCTTGAATTAACACAAAAACTGTAAACCAATTTAAATTATGTTTGTAAGTAATTAAACAAAAAAAAAAAAAAAAAAAATACATACATACATTTTAATAATACAAATCAATTTTTATAAGTACTTTTAATATATTATTTTATCCTAAAAATATAATAACAAATGCTAATAACTTTTTACTGAGAAAAACACAACAAATTAATAAGTTATTAATAACAGTTTAAGTAACAAAATAGTTAAAACTTTATAATGAATACAATTAGATTTTAATTAAAAAATAAAATTATTATAATAAAATATATTATTTTTCAAGTCAAAAAAAAAAAAAAAAAAATGTTTGTCTGTTTTGATTAAACATCTACCTAAAACGCAAATACTTTTAATTATACTTTTTAAAGGGCAATGGATTTTTCAAATAAAATAAATGGCGGGAGACCATTCCTTTCAACTTCTTACACTCCATATTTATAATATATATTATTATAACCTTCAGCAATATTAACTAAATAAATACAATTTTCGGAATTTTATAATTATATTATTCAGCAATTTTTATAAAATGCCCTCAAATTTAAATCTTTTCTAAATATTCTATATTTTGTTCAATAAAAATTTTAACGGCAACTCGTTGAGCATACTTTATTTTTTTCGACTGTTCTTACTGTACAATAGCATAGTAGCACACCTTTAATTAATTAAATTGTATAAAAACAAAACAATTTGAATATTAAATTAATACGAATCAATAGTCATAATAAAAATTAATATCTATTCTAGATATGTTTTACTTCTGCTTCCGTGGTCATTATATGTGTCACGATATTATGTTAAGAAGGTCAGAAAAAATACCGCTTGAAAAATACATATACCTAATCAGCTTATTTATACGGTACATTAACAACCAAACACGATGTCATTGAACAAGACAATCTTAAATTACTTAAAATATACCTCGTCTGATATTTAAATAACACCTATATAGCTCTTAACACTGTATTATGACATATATAAAATAATTAAATTCCAAAAGGCAATTTTAAAACAAATAAAAATAAAGAATTATGACATGCAAAAACACAGGTGTTAGGACATTGAGTAATTCTGTCATAAAGAAAAAAAAATTTACTTAATACATATTATATGATTATTAAGTGTATAAATACATAGCCTTTTGTTCAAGTAGAAATCTATACCTTGAAAACATTTTTAAACTTAAAATTATGTATGAATACATATTATACATATATAAAACGACATTTGCGACTTTATCAATTTCTTTCAAATATTCTTTTTATCTAAGATTTTTTTTTAAACTTAAAAGATATAAATATTTTGATAAAAATATATTGCGGTATTTTCCATGATTGCAATACTCAACATGGTGTTTGTTTAATAAATGTTATTCCTTCAAAGTTTCAAACATTTTTAAACCATTTTCTTGCAACAAAACAAATTATTTTATTTTATTTTAGATAAATGTAGAGAAATTTTTTGTTATTATAGTATTCCATCCATCGTTTATATAAAAGTTAAAATAAAAAAATTACGTTTTTTATGAAAAACTTTAAAGAAAATTAGAGAAATGTATAAAATATTACATAACTTCAACCTTTATTAATGAATTGTTGTAACATTAGAAAAACTTAAATCATTTAATTTAAATAAATTAAAATTAAAATTTTAATAATAATTACTTGCGTTTGTATAGAAATATTTTTATTGTTATTTTATTTAATAAAAATAATAATAATATAAAAACTATTAAATGAACTAACTACATTATTTATATAAATTTCTTGATATTTCAATATTTAAATTTGAATTCATAAAATGCATACATAAAGCATCTAGTGATTGCTACCTAACATTCTAACAGAAAATAATCATTATAAAATGAGATCATATAATAAATAAATGTTAAAATCAAACTTGTAAGATTCGTTCAATTTGTTAATATCCCTGAGGCTTAAATACATACATCCTAACTTTACAACAAGAAGTGGAATTTACTATCTTGGATACACCTATATGGTTCTATCCAATTCAAAGATAGCTAGGGATATATTGAATTATAGTGTTCAGTCCACGTAGAAACATGAACTTATTCAATTGACTGAACAACATTATACATTTCGTTTTATTGCGTAGAGAGATTTGAATTTTTAAAATAAGAAGTAGTGAAGTATCTAAATAAAACTGATTTATATGTATTGATATGTATAATTTAGATGTATAAATATATACAGCTTGAATCTCTACCAAGGCTATTCACCCCCATTTTTTACTCGAATAATTTTTTTTTTTTAAATTTTGATAATTGGAATTTTAAATAATTTATACTTAAGCTATCCTTCAAATCAAAATTTACTAAAAAAAATGATTTTACTAATAATACACAAGAAATATGGGTATCATCTCATTTGAAAAAAGAATATATCGCCACAAAATAATCTATAAATGGTAACTAAAAATCTAAATATTTGAAAAATAATCTTTAAGTATACTTAAAAATCTGCATAAATATATTAATAAAGAAGTAAGCATTCTTGGAGAATCATTTTGTAGACATTTATTAAATGAAAACTTTAAATATAAAAATTAATTAAAAATGCACGTGTAAAAATACTTTGAACCTAATCCTAGTCATGAAGCATTCCTAAAGACTTGAAATACACTAACTTAAATCAATCAATGTATTATATTTTTATTTTTACCAATATATAAAGTGCTACAATATCTTTTCAATAGAATGATCAATACATTGATGGTATTCGATTTAAAAATGATAATGCACACATTGTATTTGCAAAGTATGTAATGAAATGCAACTTTTTAAGAAAAATATAACTAAAATAACTAAATAACAATGTTTGCCTTTAACCTATAGATAAAATTAATTACATAAAATATACTTTTGTTTTGTTTTTTAAATTTTTTAAATCATTTATCACAAGTTAACAAAACTTCAAAATTAATTTAATGAAATATCTGTAAAGCATATTTTTCAAAAAACATATAACTGATTTTCTTCGATTTTCATGTCACTATTTAGTATTAAAACTTCGGGTAGAACACAAATGTGTATGTTTGTGAATGGATTTCAAATGTAGTCAAATTTATTATTTTCATCTTATACTTAATAAATATCTGGTAAAATCTGTACACTTCTATAACAATCAATATAAAATAACAAAATATACCTATTGATAATAACTAATAGTAAAATAATAAATAAATAAATAAAATCATCAATAAATTATTAATAAAGCTTAATATTTTGTACACAATAGTGTAAAAAATCAGGTAAAATCGTACGCAATCGTGTACCTTAAAAATGTATCACCTATAACGAACGTACGCAATCGTGTTTTATCCAAAACTTTGTTCATTAGCCAGTGTGACAACTAATTTGTCACTAACAAAACCATTGTATTAAATATGATAAATTTTGTAAACGGAAGTAACAATAGTGTTTCAGTCCGTGAAAGGTATCAAATGCGAACATCGAATAATAATATGTATTATTGCTGAATTAAAAGTAATGTTATTTTAAAATTACATAAATTATAAATAATCTATGCCTATAATTAAACACAAATGTTGATGCAAAAAATATTTAATTAAATAACTAAATCAACTTACCAGGATAAAAATCATTTGTTTTTGACATTTTTATTTTAGTGTTGGTCTCTGTTTGAAGCTGTGCAATTGTCTCTCCGCCTTTACCTATGATGGCACCAGCAGTTATACAAGGAATTAAAATTTTCATATGATACATTCCATCTGAATTTCCTAAAAAAAAAAAATTACTAATTTAATAATTTTTTTAAATACTTTTTTTTAATTTCTGATAGAAAAGTTTTAAATTATAAAACTTGTAAAAGAAAATAAGTTACGCTTTAAAAGAATATATTTAATATAAATGTCTTTAATTTACAAATTACCTATTAAATTATAGTAAATGTAATTAATATCTAGTCAAAATTTAAATTTTAAATTTTTCAAATTATAAAATATTTGCGCTTATTATTTGTATTTAAATATATTATATACTATTTTTGTAAAAAAAACTCGGCCCATCAAATCTAAAAAATAAAATAAATAATAAGTTATATTTGTAATCCATTTATAAATTAACATCTGTTAATTTCTTCTGTTAGCTACCGAGAGGGTGACATTAAGTAATAATAATAATAAAAAAAATTCAAATTATATAATTTTTATACGAATAGTACTAATAAACAAATCATTCCTAGTTAAAAACACTATACCAATACGTTTTTACTAAATATTACTCAAAATATCGGCACCAAATATGTTATAATTTATTTGCCCAAATTCACATCAGCCCAACTGGCGATTTCTACATCGTCTCTCTAAGAAATTCACCCCTGCAAACGTTCGAGTATTCTAATACATAATATATTTTTTAAGAGATTGCATTTGTTATTCTATGAGAACTATTAATATTATACTACAATAAGAAGTATTTAACTGCTCATTGTATTGATTTTGTATAAAAAACCGACTTGCAAAAACAGGATAACAGTACATAGTATATGGTATATAATATTACATTGTTCATGACCAGCTATTACTATTATCTATCCCTCAATATGTCACGAACAATATCCAGATAAGCACAAAAGTGTCATGTTCAAGTGATTTTTTGAATATTTCGTATGCAATGTGCTTAAAAATCGATATCCTGGAAACTCAAATCTCTTACATATTAAACATAATTTAACTAAATGAAAATATAGGACTTTAAAGTAAAATAAAAATGTATTTTTAATGTTAAATTTAAAGCGTAAATATTTAATAATATGTAAGTAAATATAAAAATTTTAATTATTATTATAATTTAAAATTATTTTTAAAAATAATTACTTCGTGTCTTTATTTATATTTCAAAATGTTTAATTTTAAATTATAAATTAAACCGAAATGGGTAGTTCTGGTCCGTTGGCACAAAATTAATACTGATTATAATTGTACTTGGGATGGTTGACTATATACCGAGCGTTGGATATTCTGCCAAAATCACTAGCTCATTTGCCAAGTCTTTTAAAACTCAAATAATACCCCTGTCAATGTATAAATTAATGTTTTGTATAATATTAAGTACTTTAGTTCTGTGATTAACGAGTAATTTTTAAAGATTCTGTTTAATTTTGTTTACTAATTTATTTTTTTACATATTAACTATGTTTGTTGGATTAGATTGTATGCAAATGCATGAGTATTTATTGATTTTAAACGTTACAGTAAGCAAATTGTTTAGAAGTTAGGGCGAACTACGACTGTAACATATTTTGTTATTCAAAGGGCGATGACTCTTCGTAACATGTTGTTTTGATTAATCGATTGGGTGTGGATAATTTATTACATTGTATGTGTATTGTTTTCCACTATTTACAAAAAAAAAAAATTATAATAATAAATAATTGTGTTATTATTATAAGCACAAGCGTAGAAGTTTTTTCTTTAGGTATAAAGTACGTTATTAGAAATTATTATTATTGATACATTTGATAAAATATCAATAACGTAATCGGTAATATATGAACTATAATAGTTAAGTAATTGCATAGAAATAATAAAATATAGGTAAACATTGTTTAAATTTTTCATGTTTAACCTAAAAATAATCATAAAATATTTTTTTATACTTAGCTGCGTATTTATACAATTTTATTATTTAAGTTATTTTTCAGTATTCCATCCATTATAGTCTTAGATATAATATGTATTATTGTGTATAATATGATAATCGTAGCATAATTTTTTATCTATGGTAATGTGATTTCAATGTAATGTCAAATCAACATGATACGCTTAGAAACTGTATTAACGTTTTGTTGTTGATTAGTTTCCTATACTTCTATATGAATCTATAAGGTTTCTTTTATAGTATTTAAATAAACTGAATAACAATAGTTTTTATATAATTATATTCTATTTTCTATTAATTAATCACAAATTTCTGAATTTAATTAAATCTTTATAATTGATTTAGGTGTTAATTTTAAAAATTAGTTTATAAACCCTGCCTGTTTAATAATAGGTACATATAATAATATTAATTAACATTTACAGTATAGATTACGTATCTTCTATACTATATTAATTGTATTAAATAGGTAATAAAAATATAATTACATTGATTCATTGTTAGAAAAAAAACGAATTTGTCATTATTGCAAGTCGTATAAATATTTCAACGATTTCAACTAAAATTGTATTGAAAAAATATTTTATGTACAATATACAAATGATTATTTTGAATTTAGACAACGCCGTCACGCTGTCTAATCTATATGTTTTAACACCAATGATACTGCAGAAAAGAAGTTTATAAAAATAAATTACATTTAGGCATATATATTATAAATATCTAAAACCGTTTAATCAATTTATCAGTAAAATGCTAAGTTTGTCATTTCCTAGTACTATAGCTAGTGTTCCAATAGTGCAACTTCAAAAATAATGATTACTATCTTTTATTACGCAGACAATGATTTAGTGTTTAAAATACTAAAATTCGAATATTCGAAGTATGATGAGAGCGTATCAAATCTCGAAATAAATTAATGGTAACTATTATTAATTAAGTTACCTATGTAATAAAATCGTGCAATTCATTCATACAACAAGTAACATTTTAAGTGTTTTATTTTATAAATACACATTGTGTGATGTATATCATAAAAGTTGCATCGTAATGATTTTGAACTTATATTAAATATATGTTTTTTGATATACATAGTATATAAACATTATAAATAAAGTAAGTTGTAATATAGTTTTAAAGTTATGTTAAATTACCTACATTATACATATACATATGCATTATTTTATAAACTTTGAGCAAACATTTGTTATTATATTTTGTATAATAATACCCAGAAATGTATAACTTAATATGAATAATATTTATATAACAATGAATGAAAAATTAATCTCAATTTAAATTAAATACAACCCGTAAAATTAATAATTTTCGATAAATAATTTGATTTTTGTGTAAAATGCCTATGTGAAAAATTATTATTTTACGATAAATATAAAAATTTAATTTAAAAAAAAAAACCTCAAATTAAACCAATAAACTATCTATAATAAAATCTATATATAATTATAAATTATAATTAACGTATCAAGAATGTTCTTTACACCATATATAAATAACGTAAGGTCTTCACTTAAAAAACCTTACATTTTCTTTTTTTAACGTCAGTTTATATTTTATTCAATATTTATTTGTTCAAGGAAAACCTCAAATGTAATGCTTTTAAGGTCGAGGTTTAAGCCCCAGTTAAAATATAATTAATGCCACATTATTTAATATTTTTCAAATAGATCTTAACATATTCATACGTAATAGATCACTTTTAATACAATACTAACATTATTTATTTAAACAATTATGTAGTTAAAATAAGATTAATTGAAAAAAAAAATAATGAATGTATTTTATCTTTTAAGTCAACAACCAAAACTCAAAACTTTTAACGAGCTTAACGTATATTCATTAAAAGCATGTGAATAATTTACCTATAAACGATATAATATCACTACATCACTCATTTAAAACTATTTACATAAAATTTAATGAACAAGTTGATTCCTGTAATTGTTTTTCCTTCTAAACTCGTCGTAAAATTAATAACTAAAATTATACTACGATATTCTGTTTTGTTTCCGATACATTTTTCGGGTAATTGAATCGCTTATTTGTGTGGGGAAAACGCAAATAATAAACAATTACGTATATATATATATATGCGATGGCGACGTTGTACACCCTCTCCTTCGAGAAACGAACGAGTAGATTAATAATATAAATAATATATTATATTGATTTCAAACATTTATTTACACATTTCTACAAGAAAATGTGCAAATGAGTACAGAGATATACTCGTCGCCAATATTATAATACATCGTATTGTCATGAAACCGCGAAATAAGATTAGCCGTATAAAGGATGTCGATGTAGAAAAGTCGTCATCGATCATCGCACACGTTAACGATTTTTAAAATGGCAATTAGTAGGTAGATAAGTCGTAAACAACTCAGGTATGTACGTACAACAATAATACAAAAATATAACATTGACAATAATAATGACAAAAATGGACGGACGGCAGACATTTCACCAGCCACGCGTACTTGAAATCGGTCGTACAAAACGTGTCGGCGGCGGACAGTTGCAATTTACTCATGGCCAATCCAGAATCGAACTAAAAAGTTCGCTCGTCTGTCTCACTACACCGGTTGTACGTGTCGAACATATTGATCCGTATGTATACGACAGACAGAGGAGAGAGAAGAAGAGTGGTAGACGACAATCCAGTTTCCGTTGTATAATATAATATATTAATAATATGTTATACAAAACCGCCAGGTGTAGACAAAGACCCCAGAGGATACGCGATAACGACGACGGCGCCGCGTGCATAAAAGTCAAAAACTTTCAATGTGAACATTTTTTTGACACTAAATCTACTAATGTAGGAAACCGCGATGAACTCGCCGTACGAACTTTAAGAGTCTATAAATTATTATATTATTATTTACATAAATTAATCTATCATTAGGTGACAACAACATGCGCAGATGCTTAGTATGTGCGTAAATTGTAAAATTAAATATATATTATATAGGTACCAAACGATGGTATTATGTACACCGAGTCATTTTACCGCACGTAATTATTATACTATCAACTATTTTACTATTTGACGTAATCAATGTATCTCTCTTTCTCTCTCACTCTCTCACCTCTC